AAGGGAGAAAGACACAGAGCAGTAGCTAAGAACTGAAGCCCTGGTTTAGAAAATCTGGGTTTGAGCTGGAGCAATGGCTTAATGGTTTAGAGAGAAGATCAGGTTTCTGTTCCATTGCCAGCATGCAGGCTCGTCACTGTCCATTCTCCAGTTTCAGGGGGTCCACACTCTCTTCTGGCCTCAGCAAGTACCAGGCACATACATAGTCAAAATGCACATACATATAAGATAAAATAAAAGAGAAAAAGCTCTCTGTGAGGAGGAGGAGAGAGAGAGAGAGAGAGAGAGAGAGAGAGAGAGAGAGAGAGAGAGAGAGAGAGATCGTGAGAGCAACCTGGACTCAAATACAGGTTCTAGCTGTTCAACTGTGCTTGGTGCCAGGTGCCAGTACCTGGCATTTCTGGGGTTTAAGTTTCTCATCTGCTAGGCAGACTCATCATGCCTTTCTTGTTGGACTGGTGGTGTGCTTCAGCCTGTATTTATTGAAGATTTGCTCTGTCTTTTCCTGTCTTAGCGAACAAACTTCAGCTGTGTACTTGACATTGAAAGTGTAGTGTTGGACAAGGTAGACCAGGCCCTTGTGCCACGGAAGCCGTCATTCCAGTGGATCATGAGGCTCAAATGAAATAAAACGTAGTGTAATACCACATGCCTGGAGCCAAGGACGTAGGGGTTGCCCTCCTACATCCCCCTACCACACACACACACACACTGGTAGTGGAGGAAGTGCTGTCCAATGAGTGAGCTTAAGACTCTGCTAAACTCTGGGTAAGCCTGATGACCTTGGTTCTATCCCCAGGTCCCACATAAAGGTGGTGTGCCCCTCCCCTGTATCAGACACACGCATAATAAATCTTTTGGGAAAAAAGAAAAAAGAAAAAAAGACTCTGCTAAAAAACAAGACAAAACAAAAAACCAAACCAAAACCAAAAACCCACTATGGATTTGCTTCATGTCATCTAGAGATTTGTTTGGCAGATCTTTGCCTTTGTCCAGATGTTGACCCAAATATTGAGCATGGGGCTGGAGAGATGGATCAGTGGTTATGCACACTACTCTTGCAAAGGACCCAGGCTCAGTTCCCATATGGCAGCTGGAATCCATCTGTTACTTCTGTTTAGAGAGCATCCTTATGGTGGTTGGAAAGAAAATGGCCCTCAAAGGGAGTGGCACTATTAGGAGGTGTGGCCTTGTTGGAGGAAGTGTGGCACTGTGGAGGTGAGCTTTGAAGGTTCATATATGCTCAAGCCACACCTAGTGAGACAGTCTTCTGATCAAGGTGCAGCCAGCACCATGTCTGCCTGCATGCTGCCATGCTCCCCGCCATGACGATAATGGACTAAACTTATAAAGTGTAAGCTGCCACCTCAGTTAAATGTTTTCCTTTATAAGAGTTGCTGTGGTCATGGTGTCTCTTCACAACATTAGAAACCCTAACGAAGACAGTCCTCTTCTGACCTCTGTGGGCACTAAGCATGTATGTGGTATACACATGTACCACATGTTGGCAAAATGCTCAAACATATAAAATAAAATGAATGAATCTAAAACCCCTTGGATATGGGACCTCAGGCAGTGCAGTTCTGGGTCCGTAGCCTCATCCTTTGGGCAGGCTTTGGCATTATCTGAGGGAAGCACCTGACGGTTCTTCCCTCTCTCCCTGCTCCAAGAGCCCTAGTTTCTAATCCTTTTTACATCTTCTTAGGATGTAGGCTCTCTAGATGAGAAGATGAAGAGCTTGGATGTGAACCAAGACTCGGAGCTGAAGTTCAATGAGTACTGGAGACTGATTGGGGAACTGGCAAAGGAAATCAGGAAGGAGAAAGCCTTGGAGATCCGGAAGAAGTAAAGCCTGCATGTCAGGATGAAGGAAATCAGGAAGGAGAAAGCCTTGGAGATCCAGAAGAAGTAAAGCCTGCCTGTCGGGATTGGGGCCCAGCAGAGTCAGCTGGGGAGGGCAAGGTAGAACCCTACTCCCCCTAATAAAGCTTCCTTCTTGAAACACAGATGCTTATTTTTATATTCTACCAGATTTCTTTTCTTGAGACCAGGGAATGGGAAAGCTCTGTCTTTACCTGAGGTGCAAACATGAAAATTGTAGGCACTTTGAAGGCAAGGAATGTGATTCATCTTCATCTCTCCTGCAGCATCTAGCATCCCACCTCCTATATGATTTCTTCATCCCTCTGCTGTTCAGGACAGAACTCAGTCCTCAGCATGTGCGACATAGCAATAGGTCTTGCATTAGGCAGATGCTCAATAAACACATAGTTGATGAGTGAAAAATATGGAGACGTGGGGGCTGGAGAGGCTCAGTGGTTAAGAGCACTGGCTGTTCTTCCAAAGGACCTGGGTTCAAGTCCCAGCACCCACAGGGCAGCTCACAACTGTCTATAGTTCAGGTCCAAGGGATCTGAGACCCCAGCCCAGACATACAGGCAGGCAGAACACCAATGTACATAAAGTAAAAATAGATAAGTCATTTTAAAAGAAAGAAAGAAAAATGCGGAGATTCGAGGCAGGCAGCTCCCGAGGCTCAGCTCCATGGCTCCAGCTTCCAGTTTTCCCCATGTAAGTCCTGGAGTTTGTACTTTGGCTGGTCACGACAATGAACACCTGCTAAACATTTTACCCATATTTCCCTCGTTAACTGTCACAGCTGTTAAGATTAATTAATCCAATTTTTACAGTGTTGAGGATTAACCTAAGATCTTGCACGTGTTAGGCATTTGGGAGGAGTCGCACCCCCAGGGCTCTTTTAGCTTTTTTTTTCTTTCTTTTTGTATTGTTATTGTTTTAATAATTTGCTTATTTTTATTTGATGTGCATTGGTGTTTCGCCTGCATGTGTGTCTGTGTGAGGGTGTCAGATCTTGGAGTTACACACACTTGTGAGCTGCCATGTGGGTCCTCTGGAAGAGCAGTCAGTGCTCCTAACTGCTGAGCCATCTCTCCAGCCCCCTTGGGATTGTCTTGAGATGGAGTCTCGCTCTCTTCAGCTATCTTCCTTCCTCCGCTTCACCGGCGCTGGGAGAACAGGTGTGCGTAAACTACCACGCCTGGCTTTGAGGAAACATTTTTAGGGAGGCGAGGTTGCAAGGACAAGAATCGCTAGAGCTGGACTGGAGAAGTGCGGCTCAAATATGAGAGGGAGAGGGAGCTGTGGTCGTGTGGGGTGCTCAGGGACAGAGTTGTCCCCACCCTGCATTCTCCGACTCGAGGGGCAAGTGGTTTGCACAACTCGCCACTAGAGAGAGTAGGGGTGTGGCGATGATGTAAGCCTCTTGGGTTCTCACTGCTGTAACTGTGGGTGTCCACGTGGGGCAGCTAGTTAACCGGAGGAAAATTAGCAGAGACAAATTCCCCATCACATGCCAGGAGAGGGACCTCAGAGGGATCACTGGGCTCTCAGTGGGAACCCAGGCTGAGGGGCTCTGAGAAGCCCTCTGACGGCAAGACCCTTGTAGTGTCTCCAGACTGAAGCCCTTCAGAGGAGCTTTCCAAAGGAGACTGTTGTGGTAGAGTCCCCGATTGAGACCAGAAATACAGGGGACCTCCAGCAGGTGACACAGGGATCACCATCTGCATATCTGCTCTGATTTCAGAGTTAGGAAGGGAAGTTTGAGTCTAGGCCCATACAATCCTTCTGCTGACCCCTCAGTTCTTCCACCGTGGTCTGTCCACCGTGGTCTGTCCTTCCCATGACTTTAGCGGCCCAGGTCCTAGGTCCTGGTTAGGTAAGGAGGGCTAGTTGGGTTGGTCACAGTCCCAGGAAGTATAGTTTAGGCTCCCCCTGGGGTTCCTGGGTAGTAGATTGGAGTTCTGGTGTTTGACATGCTGTTCAGGGAAGGGATAGGATTTGGAGGGAGGTGGAGGGGGGGGGGGGAAGAGGTGGCAGCCCAACCAGTTTGGAGAGGTTGTTCCCTGCCAGGGAACTCCTTTGAGCCTTGCACATGTGTGCCCTGGGCGGCTGCAAGGCGCTGGCAGGACGTCAGGCGAAGGTTCGGTGCGGTTGGTTCCCAGTACCAGGGTGCACTGCTCTGGCCCTTCCTTTCAACCTTTTTATCTCTATGCCATCAGGACTGGGAAAGGCTAGCAAGGCTCTGGGTTTCAGCAGGCCTGAGTGTTACTAGCCAAATTCGCTCTGGTTGGGAGGGAGAGGAGAGAAGAGCGCGCAAGCGAGCGAGCGTCCAAGCACAGAGACCCCCGGGGATCTCTTTCAAGCTCCTCATCCCACAAATCCACCTTGATCAGCCCTTGCTTCTCCTTCCGTGCAGACTCCCTCTGCTCCCTGCCTCAGGGCTGCTACGGGGTTCCTACCCTCCCGGGTATGGCTCCTTCTGCGCCCCCTTGCCTTCCTTCTCTTCTCTCCCTGGGACTCTGTAAGGTGATCTTGTGCCAGGGGCATCCCATCCCCAGCCCTCCATGGCTTCCTCCTCATGGTAGGGGTGGGAACTGACTAGCGCTGTAGAGGGTGGGGCTCACAAAGCTGGCTCCCAGCCCGGGAGGCTGCAATAGCTGGGGTGGCTGGGGTGGCCCTGCCCCTGGCTTCCCCTCCCTTCCCCCAGGTATAAGAGCCGAGTTCAGGTGAGCTGGCTCCTCCATCCCCGTCTCTGCAGCTGCCAGCAGGTAAGAAAGTCCAGCGCCTTCAGCCTAGTCGCTCTTCAGGGAGTACCCCATGCCTCTCTCGCCCAAGTCTCACAGGGGTGGCTGGAGGAGGTGGGGAGAGGGAGGCCCAGGGGGATTCCCTCTGAGTGGGTTGGCCTGGGGGCTGTGGCCTTAGCTCCTAGAGTTTGGGCAGGGACTGGATCTGTGTGGAGCAGAAGCCAACCGCTTAGGTGAAGGTGTCTGTTGGGTGGAGCCAAACGCAGCCATGAAAAAAGAATGAAGAGCTCTCTCCTCATCTCAGGCCTTCCCCCCCCCCCCTTTTCCAGGCAGATCATGAGCCATCAGCTCCTGTGGGGCAGGCTATAGGACAGACGACAAAACTAACTCTCGGAAGGACCAGTGTACTAGGCACCATGGGACAGTGTCGGTCAGCCAACGCTGAGGTGGGCCCATTCATCTGGCTGGTCTTTCTGTTCTTACACTCTTCTTGTTAGGGGGGGTTCATGCCTCCACTGACTTCTGCTGCTTTCCTAGGCCTTGCCCTGTAGATACTGCCAGTAAGCCCCCAATCCCCTCCCTTATGGGTACCCAGGATGATGCAAATGGAGTTCTTCTGGAAATAGGATGTCTGGGCACATGCTGGGGCCTGCCCTGCCTGGGATCTGGGGTTGTGGGGCTTGCCCAATCTATGGCTTAGGGCAAGAGGCCACTGTGGCCTGGAGCCTGGGCTAGGGGAGAGGGAAGGGGGGTAGGATTCTGGGCTCTGGATTGTCTTCTAGCTGCTTTCTAGCCTGTTGATTTTCCAAGGCTCCTGGGAAGGGTTTTGTAGGGTGGGTGGGCCCTCCTGATGTGGGTTGTGTCTCCTGTCTTCAGGATGCCCAAGAATTCAGTGATGTAGAGAGGGCCATTGAGACCCTCATCAAGAACTTCCATCAGTACTCTGTGGAGGGTGGAAAGGAGACACTGACTCCGGCTGAACTACGAGACCTGGTTACCCAGCAGCTGCCACACCTCATGCCGGTACTGAGGGAGTGGACCCCACCCCACCCAGACCCCTGGCTTCCCAGACTAGTGCTCCAGGACCCCACCCACACTGGCACTGGTCACCCTGTGTCTCTCCCTCTTGCCAACGCCTGGTAGGCTCCTGCCCTCCTACCCGCCCCGGGCCAGGGTGGGGCAGGAAGGTCTGGAGGTAGTGTCTTGCTGAGTTGTGGTATCTTTCCTGTCCTCAGAGCAACTGTGGGCTAGAAGAGAAAATTGCCAACCTGGGCAACTGTAATGACACGAAACTGGAGTTTGGAAGCTTCTGGGAGCTGATTGGAGAAGCAGCCAAGAGTGTGAAGATGGAAAGCCCTGTTGCTCGGAGCTGAGGACCTCTTCTTGGAACTTGTTGGGGGTGTTGGGGGTAGGGGATTTTCCAGGCCCTGAGCCTGGGAATAAAATTTTTCTCTACCCCCACCACCCCATTCCCCAGCCTGCACCTCTCCTCATCTCCGTGAGGACAGCCTTCCCTGTGGGCTCTGTGCACTCATCTAGGGTGCTCTGTGGAGCTCCTGGGTCCAGAAGTCCTCTTCCTAGGGGAGCTCAGGGGGTGGGGTGGGGCTGGAGAGGATTTGCAGGGATCCTGGCGGGGTAAGGGCCAAGCCCTTGGGAGTAGGGGAAGGGCAGAAAGGAACTGGGCTATGGGAAGTGATCTGAAGAATGGGGCTGGGAAGCTGGCTGGATGCTTGGTCCTGAAAAGGGTGTCTGAGAACCTATCCCTCTAATCTTGTCCGACTTCAACTGTAGCTGTCAGCCTTGTGCCATCTTTGCTGCTTCCGGCTCCGCCCCATCCTCCTTCCAGGGTCTGTCTCTGAGTAGGAGCAGGGCAAAACAGGAGCAGAGTTGCAAAAGAGGCCAAGGAGGGCGTGACTTCAGAGGTTTGGGGTGAGAGGACCAGCTAGGTGCTTGGGCATTTGTGGATGACAGTTATTTTATAATATTTGATTAATAAAAATATTGGAAAAAGTAAAATATGTTGTCTTGACTGTTTGTTCCTCTCCTTTGCCCAGTCTTCAGGGGTCAGGGGTGAGGGGTTCTTTGAGGCAAACGGCGGAGTCATTAGTGGGTGAGAGACAGGAGGATGGGGTGGTTGGCAGTGGAAGAGATTAGGTGCTCACTTCTCTCCATGGACTTGGGTTGAGGGTGGTCCCAGCCCTAAAAGCTGAAGAAGATAATTCCTCGCAGAGAGACAGGCTCCTCCTTGCCTGGGCTGGTCCTCTGATAGGAGATGAAGGCATGTATTCATACCTGGGGAAAGGAATGAACCCTGTGTCCTGGGGCACAGCTGACTAATGTCAAGGGAAATGGGCACTAAGAAACAGGTTGAGTGGCTGGAGGTTGGATCTCAACTCTGCCACTTATGGCTTTGAACTCTGGGCACTCTCTTTCAGTGTGTTTCCTCATGGGGGTGTGAATAGTCCTCTCAGAGGAGGAGGATGTGACCCATCACCTGAAGTACTTGCCAGGAAGCCTGACACAGTGGGTGCCTCATAAGTGGAAGGTGCATGAAAGTGAGGACATTGGTGTGGTTGAGGAGAAGGTTTTTATTGTGGAGATGAGGGAGAGAACAGCCAGAGGCATCTGGAAGAGTCCAGACTGAATGTGGCCAGCAGAATAGACCGGGCCATGAGAGGAGAGAGAGAGAGGAACAGAGAATGAGAGAGGAAAAGAGAGAGAGAGAGAGAGAGAGAGAGAGAGACAGACAGACAGACAGACAGACAGACAGACAAGAGAGGGGACCAGGAAAGGAGCCGAGGACCAAGGGGACAAAGAAGAACCAAGAGTGTGTGGCAAAATGGCTGGGTTATGATAGGAGTCAGAAGCTGGGGGAGGGGGGCCAGGCTCCGGGGCTGGAGAGGTTTAGGGTAGGGCATGGGGGTGAGAAGTGCCCAGAGGAGCCAGGGCTCTATGTAAGGTACTTGCAATGGAGAGAGCCTGGCTTTGGTGGGCTAAAGAGGCACCACAGTTTGCCATTTGGCCGGGGGTTTCTTTGGGAATCTGACATTCCAGCCTTTTTGTTGATGATTAGGGGTGAGGTAATCTCTTCTGTAACTTCTTTCTTAGTTGAAATTGGGACATCGTTGTTGGGGGCCCAAGAATGCTGGAAGAAGAGAAGGGTGCAGGCTAGAGGAGGTCTGTTTTGCTCACTGCCCAGGTTCTGAGGGACCACCTGGGGCTAGTGAAGTGCAGGCTGCTTTGGAACAGTCTAGAATGCAGATTCCAAGGAACATCTGGGGCTGCAGTATTTCAGGGAGTTTTGGAGCAGTCTGCACTCCAGCTGATTGGAAATCTGCTGGGACAGGCATAGGCTAGGTATAGGACCGAAGGTAAAGTTAAGGAACGTAGGGGAAAATTTTTATCTTGGGTGTACACTTGAAACTTCCAGGCCCATGGGCCTGGTAATTGAAGGAGGGGAGGAGTCCCAAGACCAGGGGAGAGAAATCCCACCCTCAGAAATAGGCAGGTAGGGAAACTTAGGCTGTTGATTGACAGGACTACTTATCTGGAGTCTTTGACCTGTGAGAAGTAGATCCAAGTCTCATGACTCCCTTGAAGCTTACAAGAATTTTTTAAGTTTACAAAAATAGTTTTGTATATATTAGCATTATCATTCTTTGTAATTCTTTGTACTGAAATTCACATTGTAGAAAATTGACTCATACCTTTGAGTCATAATAAAAGCTTGGGGACCCCCCCCCCACAAATAATTCTGAGTTAAAAGCATGAATAGGCTTTCCTCTATCTAGAGATTGCACAGATGTCTTTAACACAATGAGAAGCACTTTTAAGTTCATACTTAGAAATCAACCAGCCAGGCGGTGGTGGCACATGCTTTTAATCCCAGCACTCAGGAGGCAGAGGCAGGAGAATCTCTGTGAGTTGAGGCCAGCCTAGTCTACAAAGGGAGTTCCAGGACAGCCAGGGCTGTTATCTAGAGAAACCCTGTCTTGAAAAACCAAAAACCAAGCCAAACCAAACAGAAACAAAACATCTTCTTAGACCCTCACAACTTAAGTTTTCACATCCTCAGACCTTTACAACTTGCATTTACATACCTTCAATCACTTTTTTTTAGACCCTTACAACTTACACAAGCTTCAAACCTTTTCTTTCCACCCAATCAGTTGTCATGAGACACAGGTGATTGGTTCCCGAGGGCAGTCATTGCAAAGCAAATTCCTTTAAATAAAGGAATAGTAAAAAGTCACACGGAGCCGGGCGGTGGTGGCGCACGCCTTTAATCCCAGCACTCGGGAGGCAGAGCCAGGCGGATCTCTGTGAGTTCGAGGCCAGCCTGGGCTACCAAGCGAGTCCCAGGAAAGGCGCAAAGCTACACAGAGAAACCCTGTCTCGAAAAAACCAAAAAAAAAAAAAAAAAAAAGTCACACGGAAACCTGTTTTGTGAGTGCATCTCTTTCAGTGTGAAGGCTGCAGGCAAGGTAAACTGTCTGTGTCTGCCTTTCTCAGCAGGAGACCTAGTAGCTCATATCTTTTGAAATGGACTGACCAGGCCATACAGCCTTGGGGAAGGAGCTGGTTTTCTTGCTGCTGTTAACAACAACAGTTAGTCATCAACAGCATCAGAGACTTGAGAGGGATAAATTATAACAGGAAGTATAATCCAAACGGCCTCTGTATCAATTAAAATGGCTACCTAGATGGTTAGCGTAGGTGCTCCATGGTGGTCTCAATGGCTTCGTTGGGGGCAGCTACTACAGGATGCAGCATTGGCCTTTGACTGCTGGACCCAGAGATCTGAGAGATTTTCCTGTGGAGGAGGAACTTGGGGAAACTGGCATACCTTGGTGAGGCAGAGTAGGACCGCCAACTCAACAGTGTCCACAGTTTGGGCAAAGCCCTGGTGTGGGTGAGGCATGGGTCAGTTCTTCGTCCAGTGGTTAGTGTTACCACAATCCAGGTGAAGTCATCTGTGCCCTGTTGTCTTCTTTGGAAACCTGGGGGTCATTGTTAGGAGTGGCAGCTCTGTCTATCACAGGAAGCTTTTTCCATTAAACATTTTCAATGCCATATTTAGCAGATCTCTGAGGAGTTTGAGGGCCATCATCTGTTAAGTATGCCTGAGTTAAGAAGAATTTACTTCTTTTTACTTACTTACTTTAGGATTAACCTTGAAAAACATATACAGGAGGCTAAATAAAGCTTGTCCCCATAAATGAATTACATTTGTACTTAGTGTGGCTTATGAGCATAGTTTTTTAGTACATTAAAGAATTTGATCATTTATAAGGTGACTGACCATTAACTTGCATGTCTTAGGGCTGGAGAGATGGCTCAGTGGTTAAGAGCACCTACTGCTCTTCCAGAGATCCTGAGTTCAATTCCCAGCAACCACATGGTGGCTCACAACCATCTGTAATGAGATCTGGTTCCTTCTTCTGGCCTGCAGGGACACATGCAGGCAGAATACTGTAAACATAATAAATAAATAAATCTTAAAAAAAAAAAAAAACTTGCATGTCTTAATTATCTTTACTAGTTTACAACAAGTTAGTACTTTTATTTATTTATTTATTTATTTATTTATTTTATTTTTTATTTTTTGAGTCAGGGTTTCTCTGCATATCTTTGGCTGTCCTGGAACGCATTCTGTAGACCAGGCTGGCCTCGAACTCACAGAGATCCCCCTGCCTCTGCCTCCCAAGTGCTGGGATTAAAGGCATGTGCCACCACCCAGCTTAGTTAATACTTTTTATAAGATCAGGATTTTACAATTTTATCTCTGTTAAGTTTGAGTCTTAAAATTTGGAGTTTAAGATCCTTTAGCACCAAAATAAAACTTTAAACCATAAATAAAGTCTACAAAGAGACTGGGAATTTTACAAACCCATAACCATAAATACAGTCCACAGAGGGATTGGGAAACTTATTTTATTGATCTTTCTTTTATTGTTATTGTCTGTCTGTTTGCTTTTTGAGATGGTGTTTCTCTGTATAGCTCTGTCTGGAACTCACTCTATAGACAAGGTTGGTCTTAGCTCACAGAGATCTGCCATCTGCCTTCCTCTGCCTCCCAAGTGCTGAGTTTAAAGGGGTGTACTACCACTACCTGGCTTCTTGATTCTTTATAGTGAATGATTACAGAATATCAGTTTCTTGTATGATTCAGTTTATCCCAGAAGATAAAGCTTAGAAAAGCTAGCAAAGACAAAGAGGAGAGACATGCATCTTCAAGTCAGCTATTGTTAACCTGAGTAGATCTTAGGAATTTATAAACCTTATTTATCAAATATACATTATTAATCAAACATGTTGTTTGTTATTAAAAATGTTCTAGAAGCCTGGTATTGAACAGTTAGCAAAGATGTAAGTGGTTAGACATACATCTCTAAGTTGGTTTCTGTTAACCTGAGTAAACTCACAAATTTATTATCACATAAAAATCTATTCTAATCCAAAATATTTTAGACCTCCTTAGTCTAAAAAGGAGATAGAATGATAAACAGAGGGTTCAGTAGGACTAAGGAGTTTTATGAGTGTTGCCTTAATTGGTTTATACCATGTGGTCATCTCAATCAAGATTGGTGATGAAGTCACATTGTGTGTACTCTCTTTTAACCCCGATAAAGTTGGCTGCCAGACACATGGATCCTTCCATCCTGATGAGGTCATCAGCCAAGATGGAGGTGAGCCACATGGTTGCTATTTAAAAACATCTATTTTTTAGTAGATCTATTTTTTTAAAAAACAGGAGTTGAAGCCAAGTTACATATACACTATATTCTAAAGAAGAATAAAATCATTGCCAGTCAGTGGTGGCACTCGCCTTTAATCTCAGAATTTAGGAGGCAGAGGCAGTCAGATCTCTGCCATTTCAATGCCAGCTAGGTCTACAGAGCTAATTCCAGGACAGGCTCCAAAACTATGCAGAGAAACCCTGTCTTGGGGATAAAAAAAAAAAGAATTGAATGTCTGTTTGTGTGTGTGTGTGTGTGTGTGTGTGTGTGTGTGTGTGTGTGTGTGTATACATATGTTGTAGCAAATTAAGATAACCTATGTATAGATTTGTAATTATAAGCCCTTTGTTATAAGTTTTAAGTTAAATTTTGTTACAGATTTTTAAAACATACCCAGTGAATTTACACATTCTGGGATAGTTTACAACATAATCTTAAGAGATTATTTGAGAGCAGAAAGCAAAGAAATAGTAAAGATAAAATATTTTTGTTGTTGTTGTTGTTTTTTGAGACAGGGTTTCTCTGTGTAGCCCTGGAGCTCACTCTGTAGCCCAGGCTGGCCTCAAACTCAGAGATCTGCCTGCCTCTGCCTGCCTAGTGCTAAGATTAAAGGCGTGTGCCACCACCATCTGAGATAAAAAGGTTTTTAAGAGAGGAAAATAGTAAAACCTTAGAGATAAGAGACTTTTGGAAGTGTAGAGCAGAGATTTTGGGGATCATTTGTTTGTGCAGTGGCAGAGATTGTTACCATATGAGAGTATCTCAAAACCAGTGATGTCAAGCTTTGGTCATTGATTGAGCTGTACTGAGACCAAGTTGTTTACAGTAAGACAGTGAGACTTTAATGCAATCTCTGAGTCTGAGGAAGAAGAGAAAAGGTCACACAAGGCCGGGAGGGCGTCAGGAAGCAGTGGGACTTCCAGGAGGCAGCTGAGAGACAGAAGAGACAAGGGTCCCAGACAGAACTCTGCCTGAGGGAGATTCCAATGTTGTAGAGGTCCAGGAGGACAATAGGAAACCATGGGACTGCAGCTTCTAGGGAGAAGTGAGGAAACTCCAGGAAGGAGGTGAGAACAAAGGGAGCAGAGGAGGTGTTATGGTGACAAGAATTTCAACCTGGAGCATCCCCAGGAGGGACTGAGAGCCTTGTCAGAGAGACATGTTCCAAATCACAGAGGAGAGGCATTGTTTTCCACGCGCTAGGGGCTCTGGTAGGATGAGCTTTCTGGCACATGAGTGTGGCTTTTGTAGTAATCATAGACAAATTAGGTAGCTCCAGGGTGACACATACCCAGTAGAGGAGTAGAGCAGGTAGAGGAGGAAACAGCTGAAGCCGTGGATTGGGAGAAGCTTTTGGGAAAATGCTGTAGGACGGTCTGTATGTCAAATTGCTCTGATTGGTCAATAAATAAAACACTGATTGGCCAGTGGCCAGGCAGGAAGTAGGTGGGACAAGGAGAGAGGAGAATTCTGGGAAGCGGAAGGCTGAGGCAGAGAGACATTACAGACGCCGCCATGACCAGCAGCATGTGAAGATGCCGGTAAGCCACCAGCCACGTGGCAAGGTATAGATTTAAGGAAATGGATTAATTTAAGCTATAAGAACAGTTAGCAAGAAGCCTGCCACGGCCATACAGTTTGTAAGCAATATAAGTCTCTGTGTTTACTTGGTTGGGTCTGAGCGGCTGTGGGACTGGCGGGTGACAGATTTGTCCTGACTTTGGGCAAGGCAGGAAAACTCTAGCAACAGGAAAAGGGAAGATTCCAATAGAGCAGGGTTCCCAACCTTCCCAGTGCTGCCACCCTTTAATACAGTTCCTCGTGTTGTGGTCACCCCCAACCATATTTTCGTTCCTACTTCATAACTGCAACTTTTGCTATTGTTATGAACCATAATGCAAATGTCTGTGTTTTCTGATGGTCTCAGGCGACCCCTGTGAAAGGGTTGTTTGACCCCCAAAGGGTTTGTGACCCATAGGTTCAGAACCACTGCAATAGAGATCCGTACATTCTTTTTTTTTTTTTTTTGGTTTTTCGAGACAGGGTTTCTTTGTGTAGCTTTGTGCCTTTCCTGGAACTCACTTGGTAGACCAGCCTGGCCTGGAACTCACAGAGATCCGCTTGCCTCTGCCTCCCGAGTGCTGGGATTAAAGGCGTGTGCCATCACCGCCCAGCGAGATCTGTACATTCTTTAGGAGAGTCAAAGAGAGAGAAAGAGAGAGGCTGAGCCCCTTGGAAGGAGACCCATATGTGCCCCTCCTGAGTTTCAAGCACCCACATGAATGACAATGAGGAAGACATTGACTGCTCCTAGGGATGGCCGAGGAGAAGGGTTCTGGTGTAGATATGAGGGAGAGAACAGCCAGAAGCAACTGGCAGCGTCCAGTCTGAACATGGCCGCAGAGGAGACAAGGCCGTGGGAGGGAGGAGGGAATATAGCAAGAGGAAGAGGAGAGAGAGGGGACCAGGAGCCAAGAGTGGAGGGACCGAGAGAGAAGCCGAAAGGATAAAGAGAACCAAGACAGTGTGTGATCAAAATGGCTGGGTTATATAGGAATCAGAAGCTGGGGGAAGGGGAGGGAAGGGAAGCTCAGGCTGGAGAGGTTTAGGATGTGTGTGTGTGTGTGTGTGTGCTGAGAGGGTGTGTGTGTGTGTGTGTGTGTGTTGAGAGGAGCCAGGATTCTGTAATGGGTGCTGAGAGTGGCATGTGCTTTGATATGCCAATAGGCAAGTTAGCCATTTTTTTTGGAGGGGGGGGCTCTTTGGGACCTGACAGAAGTCATCACAGGAGTGGGCCAAAGGGTCCCCTCTGTTTTGGCTGCTGCCCTCTGAAAGGAAGTCAAGCTGGCCAGTTTCCTTGGGTACCTGCAGGAAAGGTGTGTACAGAGGAGGCATCTGCCATTGAAGGAGGGTCTTAGGAATGTGTTTCTGAGCTCAGGGTGGCTGAGCCGGGGAAGGGAGACCAGAAAGAGCTTCTGTGTGTGCCCTCTTGCTCTGGCCAACAGAAATCGGGTGTTAGAGTCCGTAGATCCCAACAGTGCAGAAGTTCCTGTGGCCAGGTAGGCTGTCTGGGAATCTACTGAACTCGGTCTTTGGTGGAGGCTGCCCTGAAACCTGGCTTTCAGTGACCTGGGTGAGAAGGGCAGGTCATGAGCCTCCCTTTTCTTTCCTCTATCTTGTTAGTTCTGCTCAGAGCCTGTGGGGTTAGGAGGGTGGGGTTGGGGGAGTGCCAGCTTCCACCACTCCCTCTAGGGTGAGGGTAGAGGGGTGTTTAAAAAAAAAAGGTGTGTACCCCTTTAACAAGGGCCCAACCCCAGGGCCAAGTCAAGAGTTCAGTCACTACCTTCCCACAGCCAGCTCAGCCAGGCAAAGCCGAGAGGGAGTGGGACAGATTCTGGGAGTGCTGTGGGGAGGAGTCCTGGCTCCGCTGAGCAGGAGCTTGCCTGGCTGTCAGTGCCAGAGCCCAGGCCTCAGAGCCCTGCTGGAGGAGGTGGACAACGTGGAGGCAGGTGAGCCTTGCAGGCCGGGCTGGGGAGGGCTGGGGTTGCTGGGGGCACCCTGAAGCCTTGGCGGGTCAGAAGAAGGGTCAAGGAAGGGAGCCAGGGGAGAGGTGCCTGCCCGACACAGGGCAGAAGAGGTTGGTCATTAACTCTCCCTAAAGGCTGGTTAGGCAAAGAGGGCCCCTAGTGGCTTTGTGAAACCCTTAGAGGACTAGGCAGGGTAGTAAGCCCCTCTCCTTGGCCAAGCAGCTGCCCTGGCTCAGCTCCAGGGGCTGGGACACTGGGCAGAACATTCCAGGGCCTTGCCCACAGCTGTTGCGTCCTCTTTAAACGGGGAACAGGGCGAGCAATTTCTTGGTGGGTGTTGGGGGCGATCGGACTCTAGACACAGGCCTCACTGGGCTACGGTAGCTGTGACCGGGGAAAGACAATGGGGTCCAGGAGGAATTGGAGAGGGCCCAGAGCTCCTAAGAAGCCGGGAAAGGGAGGCAGGGGCTGAGGTGGCTTCTCTTCCACCTGAGGCACAGGCAGGGGCTGCATGCAGGCCTCATTTGCTCTGGGTGGTGTTCCTTGGGAGGGGCCTGGGGAAGCCTGGGAGGTCCCCTGGAAGGGGAGAAAGAAAGAGAAAGGAGTGGAGCTTGAGACTGGCAGCTTTTCCATGCCAGGACCGAGGCAGGTCTCAGCTTGACTGGCTTTGCCTGGCAGGGCCACTTGTACTGTAGGAGTGTTTGCCCGCCCAGCCCAGAGGGGCAAGGGCAGGGGTGAGGGTAAGGTGGGCTCAGCCTTTCCCCAGGAGAGAAGTCCTATGAGTGTTGGGGAGGCCTGAGGTAGAGGGGTGTGTGTGTGTGTGTGTGTGTGTGTGTGTGTGTGTGTGTGTGTGTGCGCGCTCGCCACCCACTTACAACTTTATGAGTTGGGAAAAAAAATTCAAAGGACTTCTTGCTTCAGCAGAAGTTGGCTGAGGATAAATGGGGTACCCAAGCAGATCAGGACTGGCAGAGTTCTCTGCTCATAGGTGTTTATGTATGGGTGTGATGTCGAGTCCTGGGAGGGTGCAGACGGCAGGAGCACCTCTGTGAACCATTAGCCTCCGACACTGGGAAAAGCGCGAGGGAGCAGAGACCGGGCCTGGGAGGCTGGAGAGAGTCACTCAAGAGCCTTGGACAGGGAGATTCCTCGTCCAGTTCAGTCATTTTACTATCCCTGTACATTGATAGCTGTGGGGAGGCGCGAGCTAATTGAGAAGGGAATGACTGAATGAATGAGACCGTGAGTGTGTTGCTGAGCGTATAAGCGAATGAATGAAAATGGGTAAATGAGGCCATTGGTGAATGAGTCAACAGACAAATGGTGAAATGCCCAGTGAATCTGCGGCAGCCGGGAGGGACGCAGGGCATGGCAGAGTCAACACTGAAAATCTTGTAGGCTTTAGAGAGGATCCTGAGTAGGAGAGGTAACAGTAGGGACATATTCAACATTTGGAAATAAGTTACGACTTAAGCGTGTGAGGTGAACCTTGGAGGGTGTGGTGGACATTCAGAGTTCCAGACCAAGGTGGACTAAGGGATGGTGGTGAGCAGGCTCTTTGAAAGGGGCGGGGACCAGAATTTGGGGGTGGGAGGGTGGGGCTAGAGTGGCTGAGATCCAGGGGCATGGAGTCAGGGCAATTTGGGCTTTTGGAAAAGTCAGCAAGCTGGGCTCAGGTGGGCGGGGGTGGGGGGGTGGGGAGGTGGGAGCCTCTTGGTTGCTCAATGATGAATCAGTCCAGGAGACTAAGAGAACATTGGGGGAAGGGTGGGGCCCAAGGTAAATGGCCCCTTGAGGTAAGTGATTCCCCCATTTCTGCTTCTTTGGAAAGCTTCAGTGCGCGCTGCCATAACTCCCATCTCCTCATGACCCCCCGACTCTCTTCCCAAGACTTGCCTGGGAAGAAACTAACACCTCCTGGATAGGTCTGCTGGAAAGGGAAGAGTACCATGTCCCTCCCCCATGCCTGGAGGTCCTCGGGCCTGACTGGCTGAAGGATGGGGCAGCTGCAGGAAGGAGCAGGTGGCTGTGAAATGGGCGGGGCAGCTGAGCCTGTCTTCTGCCCCCCAGGGGAGGGTGGGGAAGGAGAGTAATGACACCTGACTGCCTCGCTCTGATGCTCTGTCTTCAGAAAAACTCCAGAAAAGCACTTGTCCTGATGCTTATCTCAGAGCTGTCCATTTTATAAGAACCTGGGGAGGAGATCCCTGGGAAGAAGGCCTGGGAAAGACTCAGAGCTGCATCTCTGGTCGGCCCAGTGCTCCTGAGGCAGGTGTCTGCATCATCTGTTGGGTGTCTCTCTGTCAATTGCTTGCTTGGCTGCTGCGAGAGGCCAGGTAGGGATTGGGCAGAGCACCAAGGGGCAGGAGGAGGCTACGTCGGTGGAAGGCAGGTAGAGGGAGGGCTGGCCTGCCTTTGGGGAGAGCAACCGAGTCACACCATCCCAATTATTTCCTTCCCTGTCTTCTCCTTGACTGTTTCCTACAGAAACTCTTCCCTTGGAACAGCTCTGGGATGGTGAGGGGGTGGGAGGTTCTCTGATTCTTTTCTTGCTCTCAAGGCTTGGGTGGGAGAAAGCTGAATGCCGCCCTTCCTGATCCTGGTGCAGGTTCCAGAATCTCCAGGAACGCTGGCCACGGGCCATCCTCACCCCACCCGAGGGCATCAGGGCAGACAGATCATGGCTTGAAATTTGTGTACGTTAGAGAATTTGTCTGAATGTCTTTCAAATATTAAACCACACTGTTACACCCTTAACAAACAGAGTATGGGGAAGAATATAGTTTCCTGTGGGTCTGGCACTATACGTCATTCTTCCAGCCACAGACCAGCGTGGCTAGGAGGGTAAGGAGGGGAGGATTTCCCACCGGAGATGCCCCAGCCTGACCCCGCTCCCTCTCAATTCTCCTTCTTTCCTGCATCCTGGCCTCTTCCTTCTGATCATCCCTTAAGAAAAAGATGCACAAAAGTATAGAAGGCTGGAAGGGACCTTCGATGCTGGGCATCAGGGCTGGAAGAGGGTGAAATATTGGAACATCTCCCTGGAGCAGGGCACTTGGCCAGGCATTGTAGGCCAGGCCAGTTACAGAGATTGAGGGTAGTTGTATATTCAGGGTTAGAAAAGCTGGCCCTCACATCTGCATATTCAGCTATTTGGATCAGAAAACAGCAGCGGAATGTAAAAAAAAAAAAAACAAAACAACACGATGCCGGCTCCGTAGATGGAGACTTAAGAGCCGGAGACTAACCAACCCGGCTAATGACCCCAGCTGGTGTTGAGGTGGTGAAGACAGACATGGCTGTGGGAATGCAGGAGGAGCGTAGTAGAGGTGACAGAGGTTTTCCCGCAGGCACAGTTTGGGGAGGGCCGGAATGACAGGCCCTCAGCTGAGAGGAGTGTGCCGGCTGATGGGCCCCCGGCATGGGAAAAGAAGACTCCGCAAGGGATAGAAGCAGGCGGGAAGGACAGGAGGCCTGGTGGGGCCTGGTGAAGGAGACCACCTTTTTGAATCCGACTGTGGGTGCTCAGGCCTGCCCGAGTGGCGGTGTCCTTTTGTGTCCACCTCCCCTTCCCGGGACCAGCTGGGTGAGGGCATCAGGACTTCATTCTTGTGTCTGAGGGTGGGAGGGGAGTCTGATTTGCCAGGCTGACTTGGAGGGGCTCTGGGCATGGGCGGTGACTCGCAGAGTAGATCCGCCTGCTCCCCTCATATCCTGTTATTCAGAAGGCTGTATCCGCTTGGAGTGTGAGTGCCTTTTGTTCTGGGGTGAGGGGGTGATGCATCTGGCCTCTGCCAGGCTGCTGCTGCTGCGTCCAGAGGCCCCAGAGTCTGTCTCCAGCTGGGGCAGAACTGGGCCTGGATCTTCCTTAGGTAATGGGGTGAAAATGTCATCGTGCCATGATGTATACTTCGGAATGGTTATGAGGGAGGAGAGGCTGACAGGGTGTGGCCAGGAGGGGAGCCATACAAAATCTAATCTGATGGAGCCGGACCTTGCTCTTTCCTAGAGAGGGGCCGTGGTGGCCTGAGGCCCTGAACTCACTGCCTTAGAGCTGGTACAAGGGGTGAAGGTGGGCCAAGGGCTCCTATTCCTGGTTTGTGTCCTAGGGCCGGGGTCTCAGCCAGTCCTTGGGATGGAAGGTAAAAGCCCCTGGCCTTCTCTGTCTTGATTCTTCCCAGCAATGGCTCCCCAGAACAGGGGATCTGGGTATGTGTAGGGGGACAGTTACCTGCCTGCTCTTCCCACAGGAACCTCCTGCTCTCAAGAGGGCTCTGACAGGGAGCATGACTGCCTAGGGCACAGGAAAGACCTGGAGAACCTGTTTTGGCAGTAGGCAGTCTGGCTGGGGAACACCTGGGTTAGAGGATCCACATAGCTCTCCTTCCAGGACCACCCCCACACTCACTCTGCTGTGCCTGCTCTGCCTCCCTCCCTGTTCCGGAAGACAAGCAGTCTGGGGGTACTGGGGGGCTGTGTGTGTGTGTGGGGGGGATGTCTCTCCTCATCTCCTCTTTTTCTGCTTCCTAGACCCAGCCGAGACAGTGAGATGGCTGACTGCTATACAGAGCTGGAGAAGGCAGTTGTCGTCCTGGTGGAAAACTTCTACAAATATGTATCCAAGCACAGCCTGGTCAAGAACAAGATCAGCAAGAGCGGCTTCCGCAAGATGCTCCAGAAAGAGCTGAACCACATGCTGACGGTACCCTCACTACCGCTCTCCCGGCCTACTCTGCTCCTCACAGGCCTCTCAGTGACACCCCGCCCCCCTCACCCCAGCCCCACCCCGTGCCCGGTTCAGTGACCCCTCCCTGTGCTCTTCCGTCCTGGCCAAGGCAGCTGCTGTCAGGGCTGATTCTGGGACTCTGCCTAGGGTCCTGTCTGGGTCATCCCGAGCTTTACTGACTCCAGTTCTTCTACAGGACACAGGGAACCGAAAGGCAGCTGACAAACTCATCCAGAACCTGGATGCCAACCATGACGGGCGCATCAGCTTTGATGAATACTGGACCATGATAGGCGGTATCACCAGCCCCATGGCCAACCTCATCCGCCAGCAAGAGTGCCAGCAGGAGCAGCAGGGCAGCAGCTAGGGGCCCCTCTGGGCCCCTTTTCATGTCCTGACCCACGTCCCGCCAGTGTTCTTCCCATGCTTTTCCGTCGACTTTTTCCTCTCTTCTCCCTCCAGACCCTTTCCTACCCTTGCCGAACAGCACAAGGGGGTGGGGGGCTATCACGGCCTCTTTGTGAGTGTCTCACTGTGGTTATGCTTCCCTGAGCATTCAGTCCCTGGAGCCTGCAGGCCCTGAGGGGGGGTCCCCTTTGTGAAATACCAATGCTGTCTGGGGGCCCCCAAGAGTTTCCTCACCTGTTGAGTCTGTATACTCTCGCAGTGTCTGATGTTCCCCGTCTGATCCTTGCCTGATTCTGTCCTGACCTCCGGAGGTCAGCTTGCTGCTTGAGGTCTCCCAGCTCCTGGCTGTGGCAGCTGTGGAAGTGGCAGCACCAGTATTATCTTCTCCTTCTCCTCCCAACCTCTTAGCTGGGTGGAGAGGCGTTCCCAGGGGCTCCCGTCCAGCTGTCTCTGTCTGGGAATGACCTAACCTGGGTTGAGCCTCCTCTCTGCTCTGCCACTGAAATAAAGGCTGGATTTGGAGTTTGTAACTCCTAGCTGGTTCCTTTGTGATGTTCTTTAAATCTGCCACACTCCCTGGGCATTTATCCCATGTTGGTGGTCTTTGTCCTGGACTCTGGGGCTCTAGGGTATCTCACAAGCAAACCTCATAGGCAAATAAAGCAAGGGGTAAAAAAAAAAAAAAAAAAAAAGAAAGAAAGAAAGCCAGAAGTTAAACTTGGCTCAATGGCACACATGTGTAATTCTAGAATCCAGGCTGAAACACAAGGGTCTGGAGTTCGAGGACAGCCTGGGATACATAGCTCAGCATGGTGGTGTTTGTCTGCAATCCCCAAAGACCCTTGTAAGCCAGTCTCAGACTCTAATTCAACTTCTAGGTGCATAGTAGGTGTCCTTTAGTCCTCACTGCAGTTAAATAAAAGGGCCTATGACCTCCAGTTTTGAGCCACGAGTAGCATGGAGGGCTTAGATCCTCCTCAGAGGATAATTCTGATGTGCAGAGATGTTTCGGGGTGGGGACACAGGATGTAACGAGAGGGAGGTATGGGAAGCCAGAGACAGAAAGGGAACCAAAGTTTTCAGCTGCTGGGAACAATGCCAGCTTTTCCATCTCTCTCTGCTACTGCACCGAGGAGACCTCAATAGGCACATTGCAGGAAACTCAGCCTGTCCCCACAGTTTAAGATTGCCCCAGAGAAGCACAGTCGGAGATTATTTTCCCTCTCCATTTTTTTTTTTTCAGACAGGATCTCATTATGTAGACCAGATTGGCCTTGAACTCACAGAGATCCAAGTGCCTTTGCCTCTCAAGTGCTGGGATTAAGGGTGTGGGCCACCACCAGGCCCAAGTGCAGAGACTTTTATTGGAGTCCATTTAAAGATTTTCAACTTTGTAAAACTGGTGTGTCTCAGACAGGCTGGTGTCAAGGCCATGCTGGCCCTCCTTTCCCACCTCAGCATCACAATAACACTTTTTTTTTTCAAACGTAGTTTTAATTTTTATCTATCTATCTATCTATCTATCTATCTATCTATCTATCTATCTATCTATCTATCTATTTTTTATTGAAAAGAGATTATTCTCTCATACAGTACATCCTGACCACAGTTTCCCTTCCTCCATGCCTCCCAGCTCCCCCCACCTGTCCTCTCCTTTGGATCCACTCTGCCTCAGTTTCCCTTAAGAAATAGCAGTCCTCCAAGAGACAACAACCAAACACAACAAAACAAAATACAATCAGACAAGGCAAAAGCCCTTACACTGAGGCTGGACAAGGCAACCCAATAGGAGGAAAAGAGTCCCAAGAGCGGACAAAAGAGTCAGAGACATACCTGCTCCCACAGTTAGGAGTTCCTCAAAAACACCAAGCTAGGTCACAACATGTATGCAGAAGACCTGATGCAGACCCTACAGGCCCCAAGCTTGCTGCTTCAGTCTCTGTGAGCCCATGTGAGCCCTGCTTAGTTGATTTAGTGAGCCGTGTTCTCCTGGTGTCCTCCATCCCCTCTGGATTCCTACAATCTTTCCTCCCCTCTTCCTTGTGATTCCCTGAGCTCCGAGAGGATGGACCAGATGGAGACCTCAAATATAGAATTCTCTCCAATAATGTTTGGCTGTGAGTCTCTGCATCTGCTCCTCTCTGCTGCCAGAGGAAGCCTCTCGTATGACCAACCACTGGCCAAGGCACTGATCTATGAGTATAGCAGAATATCACTAGGAATTATTTAATTGATTTTTTTTTTTT